CATCTCATTGCCATTACATGCGTTCTCTATATTTGATGTATATATACCTGCATATGTATGTCAAATATATGTGCGTGTGTGCGCGTGCATGTGCACCAGACACACGGCTCCCCGGGCTGCCATTTAGCATCGAGTTGTAGAAAAACTGATACTTTTAAATTGGGGATTGAAGAAAAGAATGTTTGTTTGTTTTTGGTTTTTGTTGGGGGTTTTTTTGTTGTTTTTTTTTTTGACCTTTTATTTTTAATTAAAGATGTTTGTAACTCTGAGATTAAGAAACAAGTTTGTGGCTTTTAATGTTTTCCTCATAGAATGTGATTGTTGAAGAACATGCACCGAAAGTTGCTTTCAAAAGTACAACGCTTTGTTGAATCTTAATAAATTGCAATTTTTTTCTTGGCTGTTCAAATAAATGTGTTTTTTTATTTTTCAAAGACGGCTATCAATTTTCGCTTTGTATGTATTGGGAGAGAGAACTATCCTGCCATATGTAACAAATTCTTGTCTCTTTTATGACATCCTTGGTGTTGATGTAATCATATAAACTCCAAGTTTCGGTTGCTTGACTTGTAATTTTACCATTTGTTTTGTGGTTTTCCAGTTAATGTTGAAATCTTACTCATAGTCATCGAGAGGTACAGCAGAGCTATGGGCTCTCCACCAGCAGCTGCCCGCCTGACTTGGTCACGTGTGAGAGGGACCACTGTTCACACGAGAGAAGAGAGTAATTAATGAAGGTCTTTTGTGTTTCTTAGACATTTTGTTCCTTTATTTTTGTATCATCACCGCAGCTACCTTTTACAAAGTATTTTGTACAAGCATAGAACTTACAGAGCTGGATGAAGCAGCAACATGTCACCACAGTGTTCCAGGTGCAGTGAGAAATCAGACACTTCAGTGGTTTTCTCAGCTCCACCCTGGGACACTTACCCATGACCTTAAATACTCTCAGCATCGTGCTTTGTTTCAGCGGGATTATAAAGATAACCTCCTGAAGACAAACCAAGATGCCCTCTGTGGCCCCTTGCTGAGAGACGAACAGAGTGTCTGTCTTTTTTTGCCTCCACTCCTATGTATGGGTCGATTCCTCGTTTTATCAAGACGATAGGACCCGGGTTGCCCCTCGGGCAAGGTGGTGAACTCTTGGCTCTGACCGAACTCCTGGCTCTGACTGAACTCTAGAAAGTTGAGAAGGAAAGCACTGAATGGGTCCTAATCAGGAGAAAAAAGTGAAAGACCAGAGGAAGAATGAACCTCAGAACATGGCCAGCCAAAGTGCCCTTGACATTCTAAACTGGTATGAACCTGGAGCAGCAACTCTGCCAGCACTCAAGCCAAACCACAGCCATCACTCAGTCAGCCCCACACGGGGCCCCATTGTGGAAGGAGCGTGATGAGGTCTTCCAGCTGGAGATCTCGGGGCCATGCTCGCACCAGAAGCAGCCTGGTGCCTGTGTGTTTACTACAGGGGAGCAAACCACCAGCGCCCACCCCCGGAAGACCAGGCTCACTGCCTTAAGAATGTCCAGCGGATGCAGCAGGCTGCTTAGATGAGGCGGCATTTACTCTGGGCCTAGGAGGCCAGATTGGATTTTTTTT